TTCGCGGTAGAGCCGGTAGAGTAATCGGATCAGCAAAATCAGCCTTGTTTAGGTTTCCGAACGTCTCGTTCAACCCTGTCGCCATGCAGGAATCATCTCTGCCCCCAAATCCCAGAGTCCTAGGCTAAACCAGATCCAGTCAAGCAGACAACCTCGGTTTGTAGTTCCCTTAAAGCACCCATGAAGCAAGTAAACCTAAGCGAGTGTCGTTACACGTAGGCGGCATAAGTGCTGAGAGTGATGAGTCCACCACGTTTTCAGGTCCACGTGTTAAAGCGTCAAAGGGTTCTCTAATTGTGCAACTCAAGAACACAACATTTCCTACATACCCCTGAGTCGGTTACCACTCGATGACCATTCGAGAATAAGGTATAAAGAGAGAGTTCTGCGGAGTATTCGCCCTACCGTAGTTGAAAGTTAAGATGCCACTTTGTTGTTCATATTTCCCTGCTGACCTGCGAGGCTCCATAGGGTTGACAGCACGCCATTGTCATCACCACAGAGGCAAGACGCCGTGATCGAGGCGAGTTTCGGCCTATTGGATAGGTGAAAACAAGTTCTCCTTGCTTCTTTAGTGTAAATGTCCCAAAGAGGATTGTTCTAGTCAGACAGCCTTGATCCTTCACCCAAGCTGACCTGACTGAATGGCTTGGTCGGGCATGATAGGAGACTTGAAAAGTTTCGACCTTGTAATTTCAGAAGACGATGCCGCAAGCGCACATTGAAGGTTCCCTCCAGTTTCTGTAATGCTCGGCATGTCCCCCAGATAGCTCGCTCACTCAGCTTCATCAAGCTCAAATTCAAATTCAAATTCAAATTCTACAAATGAGACAGGCATTCGTCACATTTACCTTATTATGATAGGTAGTAAGAGCTTGGTGGTATAAAATGAACGTGGTACTTATCGGCAGTGTAGAAGACAAGAATACAATGAAGTGTATCTGGTTACTGTTGTTCTCTGCCATGTAATACCTTCATGTTAGTCTCGATGTTTGTTGTACAGGCGATGATTGCAGGACGTAGTATACATGGTTTGCAACTAAGGTTAAGTTATCACCTACCTTACCCTGGAGATAACCCTAGCAGGTAAGTCAGCTTGCAGGCGCATCTCAGAACCGGGAGTGGCCCCTCCCCGCGGCGCTTGGTTTACAGCGACGGGTTTACAGTGGTCCCCCTATCGGGGTCACAGTGGACGTGGTCAACGATAAATGCCATCTCAATCTTCCCGCCCTCACCTATCGCTTTGCAGCTCCTTGCTCGGGTGCTAGGGGGGCACACAGACACATGTGCATTGTACCAATTCTTGTCCTTGCATACATATAATCATACCTATCTACATACCTATACATAAATCATACCAGCCACAAAAAGCAGTTTTAAAATACGGAGACTGCTGTTTCCCCCCTACCAACAACCTTAGTGCTCTGCTTTGCTCTGCTCTACCTAATTGTCCTTATTCTGTGTTACAGAGGGCCAACTGTGAACGTCGTGACTTCGTGAGGAGTAATTAGCTGCAGCTGACCGACCCTCTTGATGAGCTGAGAGTTCAACAGGCCTTTTGCCATAGCCACCAGCCGTCATTGTCCTAACCTAGTCCCTGACCCCGACCTGAGCTTTCTGTCTGGTGTGGAGTGTAGTTCTCTTGCAGCCTTGGGGCTTAATCTAGATCTCCAACTAATCAACCAACCAACCAGTCAATCAATCGACAAACTCACTCTCTCTCTCCCCATCTTCCCTCGCCTCCGCCGCTTTCGCCCACACGCCTCTTCGACAAAGAAGACCTGCTTACCCGGGCTGTGTTACCAGTTTCAGCTCTCCATCGAACCTGTCCCCGCGCTTCCAAATTGGTCTTCTCTACAGGGGACTTTATCGACGACGCTTACCAGCATTGACCAAAGATACGATAATCTTCATCCACCCGCCGCGCGCCGCGTGCACCGATTCATTTGGCTTGTAAATGACCCGAGCTCACGAACACTGACAATCCGACTATCGCATTCCCCCAGACTACCACCGGCGCACAGCCGTAGACGTGGAATAGATGTGGTCGACAACGCGCCGCTGCTGTTGCTGTCGCTGAATCCAAACCCCGCCACTCTCCCGACCATACTCGCTATCATCGCCACCTTGATGACGTCCGCATCTTGCGACAAAACATGACAGACCGAGTGGCCGCCTTCGTCCGGGTTTCGGGCCCACCGAATAGTAGTTTCTTGGTCGGATATCCTGGCATCTCGGCAACGCTGGTAAGTGCATTGTGGTTGCCTTGACTGAAATCCCGGTTCGTGGTTGTCGCAATGTTGCCCGTTCGCCATCTTCCTACATAGTGGGCAGATCGCTGTGTTCTACGGCGCAGTGCCACCACCCTCTCGCGGACTTCTCTCACCGCTTATCGGATAGCCCTAAGGCGCCGCAGCGAGCAATGACGGACTAACAAGTGTCTCAGCCGCGCATCGAGGGTAAGGTCGAAATTCGCCCACAACAGGGGATATCCGCGCCTGTTGCCATCTCCCTGGTTCGAATATGCTTGCAACGAAGAGAAACAATCCACCCGGCGGCGGAAAACATGGCCAAGCGCCATCTCGGTACCCCTCGACGAGAAACGACCGATGTGGTTGGCAAGGAACTATTACTATATCGATGCGCGTCCGGTAGGGAGGCTGACAGAGTTATCGCCATGGATCTGCCATTCGTGCTGTTTATTCCTTTCGGGCGAGGTGGTGAAGAGACAAATAGGAGGATACCGCCGGCCTCGTTACAACTTCCTAGTAGGACAGCAGAAACGTACTATGAGTTGGTGGTCACAGTTCAACAGGGGCAAAGCGTGCAGAATAAGTATGCCTTCCCAGTACCTTTGCAGCGATACGACACATTATCAACCTTTGGAATGTACAATCGGCCAGAAACCAAAATCGCCACTACCGACAACATTGTCACTCTCGGTATTTCTCTGCCAAGGTGGAGTTACGGCCCTATGGACCCAATCACCGTATACATCAAACTCGCCCCAAATCTAGATTGGATGGCCAAGGCTAGAAAAGTCACAGTGAAGAACATAACCTTGGCCATCGAAGAAGAAATTACCTACAACCCCGAGGGCGATGAACCGACGAAGAAGATCAACCGTATACAAAAACAAGTCCAAGATGTAGGAACAAAACTGTCCCAGGACGGCTTTGTAACGAATATGGTTGTTATATTCCCACACAAAGTCCTGAGAGATTCAAACGGAATAGTTCGGAGAGGACAACCCGCGTTTCCTAACTATGAGGTAACCTCGTTCACCACAACATCAACCCTCTACAAGATCGAATTCTTTCTAAGTATAAAGGTATGTGTGCATTACTCTGAAAGACTGCTGTATTGATTATTTTTAAACTATTCATACTAACGATGTGTATTCAAGGCGAGTATGACTTCAGCCAAAGATATAACTCTTCGACAACCCATTGTGATCTGCCCTCTTGATCACCAAGCTTGTAAAGAAGAAATGGATGCCATTGAGCAAGCGGCGAAAGATGCTTCATCTGTGGACCAGGCGAACCCCATGTTACCAGCTCGGAATATTGTGTTGGACAGTGACCCCAATGCCCTAGCAACTTTAGGGCTATGCCTAGTAGGGGGCCAGAAGAAACCTCTAATCGAATGAGGGAGAACTGCGCTATCCAGTCTAACAAACCGACAAAGGTGAAGCTATCGTGAACGTCGGTCGGCAACGGCAATCTTCATAGAGCAGTGAATGGTCATCACAGCAACAAGAAAAAGCTCGGTGAGCGTATCGTAAAGTTATCAGCGCTTATTTGCGTCTTTGGATACCCTCGCCTACTATTCGGCTGGAGAGTTGGCATCCTAGCCCGGGTGGCGCGGGCCCCTCTTATATGCTGCTGCGCCGTCCACCTTAACACATTCGTCATCTGAAGTGCGAAGGTCGGCTGAGTCTTGCTATCTGAGTTGCAACACCGAGATCTACCCTGAATACGGATATCTTGGATATTGCGAATTCGCGACTTTTAGCTCAGACACTACACGAAAGTGTCGTCAAAAAAGGGAGATAACGTGGACACGACTCGATCATCCTTCCATGATCATTATATATATTTACGGCTGAGACGGAAAAGAAGGGTTTGTAATGGGAGATATTCTTTTCTCGTCGGAAGATAAGTGCTCGATTACCGAGGAATACCTGGAACACGGTGTTCCAACATACAGGCTTAATGGCGTCTGGAAGGAATTGCAGGCAGGAAAGCATGGTCTTGAAGGGATAACGGTGCATGATATTGATGGCGTTCACAGGCGTCTTAGCGAGTTGGATAAGCCAACGTGCCGAGAGACGTCTGCTTTCTAAAGGAGCTACTAGGCAGATGTGCTCAGCTCGTCTTGCTAGTATGAGTCGAAATCATTTATGAGCGCAATATGCTTGATGTTACTCTTGGGCCTGTGAGGAGTTCTAGGGCTATTCTCGGAGCTTCGATCGATAAGATTAAGGAGCATAGCGTGGAAAACTGGAAGGGAAATGATTTACTGTAATCGTACCAATGCAATACCCCTTGGCAAGTCTAAGAACATGTTTGCTTCGTACGTATGGAGTTAATTAACAGCACGTGCGGAAGACAACTTGGATGTTGATCTAAAATGATTCCCTGAGTATTAGCAAGGCCGCCCTAGGATAAGTATTGTAGAGCGTCATTGTGTTCCTTTAAGCCCATAACTTCTGTCACTATATCTATAGTACCTTAATTTACAAGATGCCATGCTTTATGCAGCTGTTTGATCTCGTTCAGAAATTGACGTGCTGAATGCTAGTGAGAAGTCGACTGCTTTACTTATAGCGATTACACGGAGTCTATACCTCAGAGCATACTTTCTACCGCGGAGTTTATGAACATGTACATACAGCCAAGGCAAGGCCCACAATTCTCACATGAATATCCCCACTTAAGCCACCATATACGAAGATTTTGCTGTATATCTAAAATTAAGGTATCAATTTACCATATCACGGGAGTTTGGCCGAGTGGTTAAGGCGTCGTGTTTAGGTCTTTGACAGGTTTCCCTGGCATACCTGAATCCCGCGATGGGAAACCGCGCAGGTTCGAATCCTGCAGCTCTCAATAATATCATTTTTTTGGGATTTATTTTTCTTCCTTTGCCTTTTCCAATCAATAACTTTCTTTTCTTGTCCGTTCTTTTTCCTGTGTTGTTTCCTTTTCTTTCTTTTTCCAAATTTATTAATCGAATTGCAAAAGTTAGATTGCGCCAGGACACTCAGTTCGTATTGATATAGCCCCTGGGCCCTAGCCCCTACCTATTCAGTGCAGTAGCCACATCTCCACGGTATTAGTAAAGTTAGTGTGTCACCTGTTCTGCTAAGCATTTGGTTGCTCCTCAGTAAGTTGTCACTATGATTATCAAGGAGTACTCTGAACGCCTTTCTTCCCTTCCACCTCATGAATCTTCTATTAGTAAGCTAGCCGGGCCCCCTTCATCCTCTGTAGAGTTATGGTGGGCTCCGGCATGATGCTGGCATTGCTAGAGACTGATTGAAAGCTTCGCTGTTGCAATAACGATGGTAAGATAATGCAGCCCTGGTTTCGTCCCATAGTATCTATATTGATAGACTAGTTTCTGTGGGCTTTTTTGATATTGAGGGCCGGTGACGTTTCATTGAACTGTAGACACAATAGGCAAACATGTAACAAGAAGCATTCCTCAGAGGTGTTTCTTTAACAAATTTCAAATACGGAATGTCAGCTAGAGGTGAAACACATGCTGTTATGCTGTGTATTAGCTAACATCCTTTTCCTCGAGTAATCTCTGTTCGCAATTGGTCTCGCTATGTTTGCTCATGAGATTGGATATGCTCTACGAAGCGGCTTCCTGTATGGCCTAATACCATATCGCGAGCATTCTTCTGACGGTATCGTCCAGACTTGAGCGGTTGCGGACGCTACGGTGAGCGGCGAGCGACGAGCGATAACGTGGAAGTATAATGGATGCCATGTTGATGGGCAGCTCGTGATACTAAGACCTTCTTAACTCTTCACCTCCGCAATATAATCTTGGTTTTTCTCGCATCCACCCAGAAACAGCAGGAGAGACAGAGAGATATACGAAAGTCAAAGTCATCTCGTTGGCCATGGCGGGGAATACAGCGCATGCAACATAATACCGAAGGGGTTGTGCTAAGCAATGGCTAGAATGCCGAGCTATTTTATCGTCTTATAGAGACCCTCGTCCTAACTGATATTCAAACTGATCTTTGTAGTAACCCTGTCCCTGTTCATATCGTCAGTAATACCAGATGAGAAGATAGGCTCACGATCTCCTCTCTTAGTACCCTATAAGCACTTGAGTGTTTCTGCATACTTGTGCAATATATTATCCCTTTGGATGTTTACTCAGCGCATGTGTGATAGTCGAATATTATTTACCGTGATATTGCTCCAGCTTTGATGATAAGCTTATATCTTGCGTGTTCTATACACTTAGATCTCGCATAAGATAATGCTGGATTATCCCATTTACAGAAAGTGGGGCATGTAGATAGGAGCTTGACTAGACCAATACATCCTTGAAACTAAGATTTGCTAGATAGAGCTCCGATGTTTCTGCCCCTCCAACATTCATCCAAGCTCTCATGATATTTTTCTTTTTATTTACCAAAACACAGGACATTTACCTACCTCCCTGCTTTAACCTATGATATTTCTCAGAAGCAATAAGAAAAATTAGCGAACGCGGTCAACCAGGCGCATGTTATATTAACCTGACCGTTCAACCTTATCAGACTACAGCTTCAAGAGCTTCGAAGATGCCATTTGACGACGAAGACGATGCCGCTGCCTCGGCGCGAGTCATTGGAGAGGATGCGCTCGCTGATATTGAAACCGATGATCAAACCCAAGACTTCCGACTTTTCACCTCCCTCCTCACAAGCCCGGGCAAGAAATCACAGGCCTCAGGCAAGGCGATACGGCGCGGCGAGAAGGACTTTGAATCGCATGGCACACGTGCACAGGAAAGCGTCCTCGAGTCTAGCCGCTCTGCGATGCATGACGTGCTGAGCTACACACGCCAGCACCAACCCCGTAGCACGCTGCGTGGCTGGTATTTCCCCGACCGATGGGCCGACATGCCGCCCGAGGGTGAGCCGAATAAAGACGCCACGATGGACAAGCAAAAGGATGACCGAGCCGTGAGAGACAGGGGCTCTGGCGAAGGCCTGTTTGCGCGGGATCGCGTCGTCGCGCTTGAGTCAGACAAGGGAAGCATGCTGCAGTCGACGGGGCGTGTCGTCACGAGCGCCGAGAAGTTCAGCCCCGGATGGCTCAAAACTTGGTTATTGCCCGAGGAGGCATTGTTCTTAGTTGAGAGAGGGACATTGGATTTGTGGTGGCCAGTACGAGGGATTGAAGATATCTTTCTGGGCGATACAGATCAATTGGAAGACTCAGAAGCGCAGGTCGAGGCACACAAATTCGAAGACTATGATCTTGGAGTCCCTCTTAGCCTTCAAGCCGCATATGCGCTCTTCATTGGGCGGGATGGAGAAAGGGGAAAGATTAGTCTCGAGAAATACCAGGTTTATGCGAACCTAAGACGTACAGGGTACAGAGTCTTACGAACGACACCATCACCACTGCAGCCGTCGCCATCACAACCACCCCAGTCACTCTGGCAATGGCTCTTTTCTCTTTTACAGAAAACGACTAGCCCCTTCACTCTACATTCTGACTACCCGGCCTACGGACCACTTGTGAGACCCGGTCTTTACCGCTCATACATACCCATTTTTGAGCAGCTAGCCCTTATTCAGCGACACAAGCCTACCCCCTGCCCATCAGCCGCGCCTGAACTCCAGGAGCCCTTCACGATTCACTTCCACGTCTGGAACAACACCTCGGCCTTTACGAAGACACGACCACCACCTCCTGAGTTCCGGATGGCTGTTGTCGACGCCCGCGAGGCTAGTGTCCCGACTTTGGAGCAGCTAGACGCGTTGCTCCTATCTACGCCTTGGGATCCGCCGGAAGAAAAGGATGCAGGGAAGCCAGGGGCAGGACTTGTATACAAGCGTCTCAAACACGGCTGGCGGACCGCCATTATAGCGGTTGTGGACTGTGGTTTAATTAGTTACATGAGATTTGGCGAGATGGCATTCGGTGAGGAATTATTGTATAAAAATACGGGCTCACGTCCGAAGTCCAAGCGAGGTGGGCGAGCTGGGAGGGGGCGAGGAAGAGGAGGAGGAGGAGGAGGAAGAGGAAGAGGACGGTGACCACGATACCCGTATAATCTAGTTATCTCAACTATGCCGATTATATCAAATCAGTTACTCCTTATAAGGCCAGTTCGACACATAGCTGTGCATAAAACAATTACCTCATGGTATATATAAGGTAAAGGACAACTTAACATAGGATAAAACGTAGTCTAGGTCGAATTATTGGCACCAAAGCCTTGGAAAATTAAATAGATGAGTCTGCTTATCTTACATGATATAGAGTTGGTGTTCAAGCGACTGCTTTCCCAAGGACTATATCGTCTTCACGCCATGTTTCAAGTAGTAACTCTTAAGTTTGCTACGTGTTACTCATCATCTACTCCTTCCTGTTGCTGAAGCTCAAGAAAATTGAACTGCTATACGTTGGCAGCTTGCCTGACCTACTCGCAAATTTACTTGCCTACTGGCGCTACGTAAGGTGTACTGTGCTGCATCTGCATAGTAAGTGTATACGCTTTTGTAGGTATAGGTTGAAACACGATCAAAGACATGGTTTCCGCATGAGATATAACATAGCACAAAGTAGTTTTCAAGTCAGTATATATGCTTATATACACAGTCCGCCTACAGAGCAAACATCATCTGCGCTTGGGTCCACCAGTGCTGATCATGCAGGTGACACGGCTCTCTCGGCCTTTCGCTTTCGGACGCGAAGCACCAGCATATATATTGAAAGACCACTATGGAAATAGGGAATGACAACGTTGACAAATTATTGGTCGTTCCCATATATACTGCCGTGGTACTGTTCTTCTCTCGGGTTTCTAGCTAAGTGGCGAGATCGCGAAATGTTGATGTTATCAGCATAGGACACTGCTATAGCCCAAGACCACACGCGTATAAATACGTACTGTAACCACGTGCAAAGATGCCGTTCTTCTTAATATCCCCAGTAAAGAAGAGTGATAACTTTTCAAGATGCCTAAGCCTCACGTTTTGATCATCGGTGGCGGTCTTGGCGGTTTGACGCTGGCCCAAGTCCTTCGAAAGCACGGTGTGACCTTTGAGATCTTCGAGAGGGATGCCAATGAACGTTCAAGGAAGCAAGGGTGGTCCCTTGGTCTTCATGAGCAAGTCAACTCCGCCTCCATACCACGCTTCTAGTCCTCCCAACCCATATTCATCCTCCCTCTTCACTGTGTCCATCCGTGAAGCCTCGCTTATGACACCTTCTTCATTAGTATACTCGACCAGCTCGAGGAGCAGACGCCGGACGACCTTCCACCGTTCCAGGAGTCTGTTGCCGCACTGGGTCCATTCCTCAAGACACTCCCTGACCAAGTCGGCTTGTACTTCGACAACGACTTCGGCGTGGACAAGCGCATGGGGATAGAGGATGATGTGGACGGTCGCTGGACACGTGTCAACCGTACAAAACTCCGCGTTTGGCTGGCCACGCATATAAATATCCAATGGAGCAAAACCTTAATCAAGATCGAGCAAACGTCCGACGAGAAGGTCATCGCGACGTTTGCGGATGGTACCACCGCATCGGGCGACATCCTCGTTGGTGCGGATGGGTCGATGAGCCACGGTGAGTATTATGCATGCCTTATTATGGCTATTCGGGCTGTTCTAGTGCAGATTAATCACTCCCTTCGATTCTGTTTGGTGCGAGGGAGTTGCCGTAAAACAGGAACAGCAAGAATAGAAAGCGCGTGACAACGAGCTGGCTGACTGGATGGTGTAAATTAGTAAGAGAGTACATTCTGAGCAAACCGAACAGCGAGATCCTCGAGGCTCTGCCCATCAGCACCATCATTGGTGAGGTGACGCTGACGGGCGAAGCACTTGCGCGGCAGCTCGAGATCGCGCATAGCGTTGCCC